ACACAGCTATCTAAGTCTGCATGCATCCCTTCAACATCTTTCCTTTCCGATGTGCCTTCATGCACTGATCCAATCAGTGCTCCCTGAAAGACCAGTATAAGCACACTTACACGTACTGTTCTGGCTTTTCCTGACGTTCGGATGCTTGGTTTTGCATTCCTGAAATATGATGTGGATTGTAAAAGCCATTTGGAAAGTTTGAAATAGTACAACTCCACTATAAAGAACCACACACTACCGCCAACCTGAACCATGGCCAGGCTTCAAAAAGCCTGGGCATAACCAACTGTTCCTTTCTAACTGCCTTAACTGTGGCAGGATAAGAAATTGAATTCATCAGACTCCCGGAGGAAGGGCTCAGAGCTTGGAACACAAAGCAAAACCAAGCTGCTGGCTCTCTGCTCTCTGCGTCTGGTAATGCAGTGCCTTCCCAGAAGCCAGGGGTGAACACATGAAGGCTGCAGTCAGTCTGGGGACACAACACTGCTCTGTAACACAGCTACAGGCTCAGAGAGATGCTGTGAGGAACACGGCTCTCATTTGAGGCTTTCGGAAGACTTACCAGCTATGTTAAGGAAATGTGTGCAAAGACTTCTCAGAGTATTTACTGAAGTAGATTTGTTAGGAGCAACAAGAGATGCATCCTTCCTGGGCTAAGGCCTTAGCAAAGTGTCAAGTTCCAGATGAAAACCATGTACTCAGAATGTCTTCATCATGTTAGAGGAAATCTAATTACTTCGCCAATTCAGACTAAATTGTATCAGAAGCAGCAGATGATCTCAGCCTGCAGACCAAGGTTGCAAATAGATACCAAAGAGTGTAACTTTTGGGATTAAGAGAACTGAAGTTAAACATAACATAACCATTTTAACACTAACACAATCAGTAGGAACAAGCAAGTTTCCTCAAGAGAAGAATATCCTGAAGTACTGACACACTCACAGGCGCAATTCAATTAGCAGCAGCTTAAGGTGCTGCTATCCTTCAGTGCAATGAATTCCTAAGAGCTGATTGAAATTTAAGTTGATCTTTCAGATTTAAACACGCTGTCCCAAAGCAGGGATAGGTGAGCAGTGTGCTCACAGACTGTTCCTCCAGTTTAGATGACAAGCAGTAAGCTGTGAAGCCATGGTGAGATGTGCAGGTCCTGTGCTGCTCCTACACAGTGAGGAAGCTGTGCTCGCTCACCTCTTCCCATGCCTGGTAACTGAAGTACAGAAGCTGGCCTGAAGTTTCCGCTGACAATTTTGGAAGTGCTGTTTCTAGGGGAAGTTGTAGATAAGTATTAGGGCATCTTGGGCTGCTTAGTTTGAATACAGACACCGTGATGTAATCTGTCAACAGCTCGAATTCCCACCTATCACTGTTTTTTCCCTAAATGCAAACAAAATAGAGAAAGAAAACCTGAGACTTTCAGCAATCAGCACCATCTGATTTTGCAATGAGATCATCCTTCCTAATAATTCTGAAACACTGTGAGTTACCCTCTAGCACGACTAATCTGCTTTTGCAAAGCACAAATAACCCTGAGGCTATCATGTAGCATTAAATTGCTGCTTGCAAATAAGCAAATCAAATCAACATTGCTAATCCAGATGGATACTTCTGGTCTAGGAAATGAGCAATGCAGTGGGGAATTTGAACTGGTCTCATCCCTGGGATTTGGGTTTTGACCCTTGACTGGTCACTGTCAAAGCAGAAGTCAACAGCCTGGGCCCCAAACTGCCCAGCTGCACAATAAACCCAGCTGGGTTCCCTGCCCGTGAATTGAGTACTCACAGAGTATACTGGCATCCAGATGAGCTTCCAAAAAGGAAAAGACAGTGATCAGTACTTTGTAGTATTTAACAGCAGCCACCTAGAGCAGAGTATTGAAGTCATTCAGTACTTATCCCTATCCCTGTTCTTAACAGTTAAATTGCATTAAGAGAGGTGAAGGAAAAGTGTGACGAAAGCAGGGGAGTACTGGATTGACCTCCTCTCCTCCCTTAATTGAGACTCAAAGTAATTATGAACACCTCCTGTTGTGTCCAGTTCTGTTCTGCTAGAAGCAACCCTTTCTAGCTTAGGAAATGCCTTTGATGGCGAAGCTTCAGGAGATATGTGCCATTAGCAATGAATTCAAAACAAAAAAGTGGGATGTCCAAAATAGCCGTGTTGTCAGGACAGCCTTACACAAGAGATTCTAGGAGCTACTGGTTAACTGAAATGCCTACAATTGACTACACAACTGTTATGAACCTCTTACTTTCACGTTCTGTGACTCATATACATCATTTTGCAAAAGTGAAGCTTTTAAAAGACACAAAGGCTGTAGTGAAATCAATATGGTTGGACATTCATACCAATTACAACAAACATGGAAAGCCCACTGGAATGGACTGCAGCTTGCTAACAAGGAGTTTCTGTGAATATAAAATTTAAATATCAACCAGCAAACACCAAATTTCAGGGCTCACACAAAAATGCTGTTATAGCTATCTTCGTGAAAGACTGCTTATGCCTGGATTGACCACTTACGCAGACATGAGAACAGCCTTGTGCCCTTCCTCAGCATAATTTACAGCTTTGAAGACTTTGGGCGCAAGCTCTGAAAAAATGCTTCTCAATTGCACATTTTTTAGGTTATCCTCAGTCACAGATACTTGTACAACAGAATCACAGATTCGCCCAGGTTGGCAAAGACCAACCATGGAAACAGCACCACTTCCCTGGGGCCACGGGTGCTTCCCACATCGACCACCTTTTTGAAGGGGGTGGTGTGGGGGGGTTTCGGGTTGAAGAAGCTCAGCTTAGGGTTGCACGTGTACGAAACAGAAGTAGGTGCTGAGCTGACAACATGTAAAGTTACGATGGCTCAATAAGAAAGCAGAGTAAGCTGCAGAGTGGCGTTTCCAAACTGAGTAAAATTAATAAGTTCCACTGAGAAAAGAATGGAGTTAATTTTGCTTCCCACTATTAATTTTGATCCCTTTCCTTTGAGCAGTCATTACAACTCTGGAATAAAATGAAGAGATGACAGGTCATACATTAGAAGTTTTAGGATGAAACAGCTGCTATATCCCAGTAGGAGGGGTGGAAGGGCACTCAGTTATTGTCCTACCTTATCCACAACAATAACTGCTTTCACATTTCATAAGATCACACCAACTGCCTCCTGCTTAACATTTTACTTAATGTGAAAAAGTGGAGTGGCTTCTGATTCTTATTAAACTCCTTAAAATGAAACAACATATTTTAATGAAGTTTAATTGAACCATGAGCTGTTTCTTACAGCACTGGGAGCTAAAGATGAGCAACGAAGAACATAAACTCATTTTGATGGCTCATGCAGTAGACTGGACTGAATGGTTACGACTGTGAAGTTCACTCTTGCTTGTCTCTATCAAGGAGCTGTGGGGTTTTTTGCACTCCTGGCAGTCCCCCTAGAGGATCAGGAGTTTCAGTCTCAGCTAAAGGGTTAAGGTGGCAAAGAATGACAAGATCCAACCACTTGGCAAGCACGACTCAGGCGTTACTTGAACAACAGAAGAGATCAGAATTTCAGCTTACACTCCAAACTCTCTTTGTTCCCTACTGCTGTCTGCTTTCTTAGGTATCAGCTCTTCAGTCATTCGTGGACTGTCATGGAAACATAAGGTGCAAAAAGCCTATCTTTCCAACAAGAAGTCAGTACAACGAATCACACAAAGCCTTACTGCCCAGTAACCTGCAGTGGGAGCAGTGACCTTTCCGAAACGTTCTACAGAAAGGAAGAATGCATTGTGAGGTCTGGAGACACTGAAATCCAGAAAACCTGCTGCCAAAATAGGAACAGGCCTTAGGCAAAGCATTCTAGCTGACAACTAATCCTTTGTTAACAGCTTCCCGGAAAATAAAATTACTGCATCCAAATTCAATGCTAACAGCTCAGTGACTTCTGAAAGCCTGATGAAAATTAATGTCTGGAGCCTTTCTAATACTCTGTGTTTCTAATACTTTGCACATCGAGCTGCTTTTATTTCAGAATAGCAGTGACATATTGGCAAGAGATGTTGAACTGGCACAATGATGTTTACAAAACCCACCTTTTTGCTCAAGAGGAAGGAAAAGGATGAAAACAGGACATCCACCAGGTTAACAGGAAAAGTAGGAAAAGAAGCCTGACTGAAAGGACTGAACTATGCAGTGAATATATTCTGTCCAGCAGCCAGCTGAATCGGGTTCCAATCCAAGACTTGAGATATTTATATCTGTAATTATTTCTGCATTTCTTTACCTTTAATGTGTACAAATACATAAGGTCACATAACTTTTCTTTTCATGATGGCAGAACACCTAAATCAGAACTGTCAAACACTGACATCATTACACAGCAAGAAATACAAGGGTCTTCTCAGAGGGTCCAAAAGATTAATAAATGTTAAAAGAAGGAAGATTTAAGAATTCTCTATTTAATTCTATTATCAACATCTCTTAAACAAGTAATATATTAGCATTTGCCCACAGAATGCTTAAGGACAAGAGAGCTGCAGATTTCTTTTGCCATGAGATGATTGTTTAAGGGCCTTGAAAACCCAAGCCATGAACCAAGGCTCCATTTCAATCAGTGCCATACAAATGCAGAACAAAAGGACAGTTCCTGCAACACCCAACTCTGACTGCTAATTACACACAGAATCTTTGCAGGGCAGAAGCCAAGAGCTTTTGGTGGGCTGTCCTTAAAATGGGCTGCTTGCTTCAGCCCAGATTGTTTGGCACTGAAGCAGAAGTGACAGGATTTTCATTAACTAAAGGAAAGATTTCCTGAAGAAAATCTGTTCCTAATCAGACCACAGAAAATGCAGTTAAGAGGGTTAAGACTAAAGGGCTGTCAGGAGTGGGGAAGATATGTAAGAATCATTTTCCATGGACTGAGAATTCTACATACCTGCTTAGCCAGGATTTTTTCTTTCCTTTTCACCCTCAAACCCTCTTTTTAATCTCATTCTAACTTAGGCTTCTTTCTCATGTTTCCCCAGTGCAGTTTGACATGATGCGCGCCTGCAACCTCATCGCTACCGTTGCTCTGACTGCTGGCCAGCTCATCTTCGTCCTGGGCCTGGTGGAGATACCCATCATTTCTCAGGATACCCAGTGGTGGGAGGAGGCCATTGCTGCTGTGTTCCAGCTTGCCAGTAAGTACACTTCTTTTTTTAAGGAAAAATTCGTCCATCCCTACTAAATCCAGGTGGAAAAGATGGAGCAACTTCCAGGTGACAAAGCTTAGCGAAAAGGCCCAAATCTCAAAGTAAACACACACTGGCTCTCAAAAGCTCTCCCCTCAAGATTCTGCAGTATATGACTACAAGCTTTCATGCTGGAAATATCAGAATGCTTTTTCTAAGTTGGCAGAAGACTAAGCCATTCCTATTTCTTATGAAACCTGAAAGAAATACAATCAATGCAATGTATTTCCACCGTTTAGCAGGACAGAAAATACCTCAGCAGCTGTTTGAATGCAGAATGACAGGACGAATTTCTGAAGTCTTGCTGAAACACGACTGTTTTGCTTTCAGCTAACTGAATTTTGCACTGCGAAGGTCAGCTGGACTTTGGGAGACAAACGTGTCTTTCAATCTTGCAAATTTTAACAGGGACAGTTGTAACTAAAATTCCCACAGCAATTCTCATAGACAAAAATTGTATATAGAGATGAGTGAGGGAAGGAGGAAATCACAGCATCATATTGAGAGTTTTGCATAAAGTCATGTCATCTTCTTTACATAAAGTCACTTGGTATTTATTATAGTAATCCTATAAAAATCCAGGTATGAAACCATCATTAATGGAGTACTACATTCAGATTGCCTACAAGTCCATATTAGAAACATATAGTTATTATTAATGTATAACCCAATAGGTTATAATCACTGTTGGTTTTTTTTTAATTCAATTCTGATTCTTACAACACTGAATAGCTAGAGTGGTACAAGTGTGAGATCTCCAGCCCACACTGCCGCAGGAGCAGCATCTAGCCCAGGTTATTTAAGTATGGTTCCCATAGCAACAACCACCACACTGAGGTGAACCTGAACTTCAAACAAGAGGAGACTGCAGTTCCCTTATCTCTCAAAGCGTCCCATCCAGTTTCCAGGTGCATTGGCTCAGTGCAATGAGAAGCCAGACATTCAGCCTCACTGCAGAGAGCCTCCTCCAGCCTTGCACACCACGGTCTTTTGCAACCCTGGATACCTTCTGCATAACTCTCCCTGATCTTCAGGTGCAGTGCTGGCTTTACTCTCACTCCTCCTCCCCAAAACTCTGCATGTCTGTTTTTCACAGAGGAAATGCATTCTGGCCCTGTTTAGATTTGTTGTTTCATTGACAAACAGCGCAGTGGACAGCCCTGTGCCTTTATTCTATCAAGGCTGCTAATTTTAGACTTTTTTTTTCCTGTGCTGGAGTCCGTTTTAAACACAGTCAGAGAGAGACTGAAGGGCGCCAGGATATCCCGACACAGGAGGAGGAAATGCCTGCTATTACCTGTTATGCAAGCTGAACCTTGAAATCCCCAGAGCTGGGAGGGGAGAAGGGAAGAAAGCCAGAGTCAGAGTGATTAACAAAACACTAATGAGAATGGCTGAAGAAGCTGCTGAATCAAGGAGTTCATCTGCTTGTCTGTGTTCAAAAGGTGTGAGGAGAAGGATGTGGCAGCTCATGACAGCTCCAAAGAAAGACGTCATGCTGCATGAATCCAAGCTCTCCCATCCGCGCAAACGATGCAGCGACTTCGGTGGCTGTTCCCCCCTGTCATCCTCCTTTGCAATTGCACCGTGCTCTCCTTTGCTGTCAGATGGCTGTCTTGCAGTCAGTACTACTTCACACCTCATTTGCATAATGCAAATTTTACAGTAAACGAACTCCTTTCAGATATCCAGAACCACCAGCTTTGGGAATGTGTATTTAAAAGAAAAAAATCCTAAAATCCACCACGATCTCAATATAGAACTGCCTTCTTGGAAACCTCCCTAATCTGCCAGAACGGTGGTATATGAATGCTGATTGCCTTGCTAAAGCAGTGGTCTGTCCTCTCAGGACAGGCAGCTCAAAGTAACAGCCTGCACTGACAGAAGAGGCTGTTTCTTCTTTCAGAAAGAAATGCTTTGCAATGTTGGGCCACCAACAGGGCACAGAAATCAGCCACACCAACCAAATGCCCTGGACTGAGCCCAGATGACAGCATTTTATTTTATATTATTTATTTTATTTTATTAGACATTTTATAATGGCTAATGTTATTTCTGATGGATATCAGACAAAACACGTGCAAATCGTGAGTGTGCCCACCATTTCTGTTGTTCTGGTGAGGGATTGCTGCTACATCTAGGACACCACCATTTCTTTAATAAAGGGGAGGACAGGGGCTGCTTCTCGCCCTGCAAACCACAGGCAGCGCTTTGCCTTTGAGCCTCCACCCCAAGGATGAACATTTCATCTGTTTTCAAGTGCAGTAGAGCATCAGAAAAGAACAGTGGATTATCCAAAAGTAGTTTGCCCATGCAGCTGCCCGAGCTGAATTGCTACAAGGATCTACTCTACTTCATTTGTATTACAGTACAGTCCTTTGTCACCACTTCCCAGGAACACACATCCTAGTAATCACATCCAGTCCTCAGGCTGGTCGCTTCAAGGTCAAAAGATGACAAAGACTTCTCAAATAAGCAGAGCAGCTACAGATTAAGTTGTAAAAGACCCTCTGCTTTCACCCAAGTTCAATTCACTGAATTCCTGTCCTGTTACAAAGCCTGTTTTCCATACACATTGAGTAATGTGGATGAGAGAGGGTATTTTGAGGGTTAAACCAATATATTTTAGTCCAGACAGATCATCCGTGTGAGAAGAACAAACATTCTAGAATGTACATACTTGGATCTTATTAAAGATTTCCTGAGTATTGTCTGGGCAATTTATTACACTTTCAAATGTCAACCTGCTGCATACTGAAAATGTAAGCACCTCATGTTTTCTTTTCCAAAAACCAAATGCTCTGGGGAGATTTGTTCTGCAATTTCTCAGTCAGTGATTCAGAGAAAACGTATCTTGGATCGTGTTCCCTCCAACTCCAGTGCACATCTGATCTCCAACTTTTGTGTCGATAGCAGACAGAAACAAAACTAACAGTCACTGAGAGTGAAATCCAGCATTATAGAGGAAGATTTAAGTATGCAGCTCAGAATCAACGTGAACCTGCCACTCACTTATTTTCAGTCACAGCATATTGCTAAAGCATTGTGCGTACAGTCTCCTCAACTCTGAAAGAAGTCATTTTGGCTTCAAAAAACTAAGCAAACTAAATATCATCTTCCAAACCCTATCGCAAGTTCAAACCAACCATCTCTGGTCCCACGAGAGACTCCAGGCTTCATTCTGCCACCTGCACAAGTGTTTGACTGCCATTCAGAAAGGATGGACCTCTGACAGAAAATAAAGCCCCAGGAAGCAACGAGGAAGGAAAGAAGAGAGCAAACAGTGTTGCTCCTGGGCCAGCAATGGGATTCACACAGCTCCAGAGCCCTGCAACCTCACACCTCCCAGTTAACAGGAAAGCAAACTGTTTGCTTTGGAAAAGGAATGTGGTGAAAATGGAACCAGTGTTGTATGTGGAATTTTGTGTCACTGCTCAGAAATTTCTCTCCAGAGGGCTTTTCTTTGCTGTTTTTTTCCCAAGGAACTGTTAGAGACTCAATGTGCTGAGCATTAGATGGGTAACAGAGTCACCCAAGCAGTTGTAAAGGGAAATCCATACTAAGAGGATAGGAAATAAAGAGCACTTCAGAAAATATTAATCTACTGCAAGCAGGAACCTGCCAGACTGGATCCCAACTCATGTATTCCAGCCAAGATTCCTGTTCTGTACAACGGTGAATGTTAGGCAGTAGATTGAAATGCTGGAAACAGAGGAGGAAAGCTAGAATACAATATCCTTTACTTTAGATCTCATCCCGGTTTCTGAAAGTCCAACATTGGAATAAACCTGAATAATAATGATTAATATTCATTCAAATTACTTATCAGCATTAAATTACTTTAATACTATCCTGAAGATTAAAACATTCTGTGCCCCCACTAAGCTTGTCACTTCCAGCCAAACCATTACAATTTTACCTCTCCTGAATTTCAAGCCTTGCATACCAACTTTTCCTACGTTTTTCAGCTGACAGAAATTTTCATTCCAGATCCCAACACAGCTGAGGAAACCTGAGTTCATACATATTCATGTCTGTGCTGCTAAGCCTTAAAAAACAAAACAAAAGAGCATTGAACCATTTACCCTCTCTTCCTTCTCAGTATTATAACTTTAGATCTGCTGATATCCAGAAAAAACTTAATGCAGAACAGAACAGCAAAGCAGCCACTGGAGAATAAAACTGACTATAATAATGATAGCAACGTGATCCTGATTTCTGTATAACTTCCTTCCACCTTTTGCCTTCACAGCAGCCACAGGCAAGGTCTGTTTTAAAAGGAGATTCTATGGAGCTCTAGCCTAATACTTCCTGAAGAAAAAAAAAAAGCAAATTAATGACTCTAAGTCTAAAAATTGTAAGAAAAAGGAAGAACTCGGCTGCTTGACTTGTGCTAAATGTTCCTGTTATTTCTCACTTTTTTTACTGCAGCACCAAAACTTGTTCTTTATGTGGACTGCAAACCTCACTGATCTTGCTTTCAATGTCTGCAAAATTAACCAGAAAGATCTTAAAATATGGAAGACTACCCTGCTTATTGTGACTGACGTGCTTCACCTGAGCCAGCAAATGGGAAGGGCAGCAGCTCAGAACTCTTCACCTGGTAAAACTGCAGACAGAAGATAGTCTGCCTGTATTTTTCATGTCTGAATACAGATTTGAGTAGCAGGCAATTAGTTAAAACATCTCAACATCAAGGGCACATTCTGATTATAAAGCTGGTATTATTACCAGAGAAATATACAAGTGTAAGGAACAGGTTTTATGGCTGCGTTAGAAATAATACAGTAATGCAGGAGAAAAAAGATCCCAACAGTTAAAAATCAGTTCATAAGCAAAAAATATTAGATGCCTCCTAAAGTTTCAGCCTGAGCCATTTAGCAAAATCCAACGTTGAGCTGCTGTTTGTCCTTTGATGCATCAGAAGATGGAGGACAGTTCTTGAAAAC